GATATGGAAGAAGGATACTTGAAGAAAACGGTTTAAGCGAATGCAATGCGGTACACATACCAATGGACGCTGGTTTGAAGTTAAGTAAGGAACATGAAGAGAAAAGCATCGATGAAAAGAGATACAGAAGGAACATAGGATGTCTTCGATATCTGCTTCACACAAGACCTGATCTTTCATATTGTGTTGGAGTGCTGAGCAGATATATGCAAGATCCAAAAGAATCTCATGGAATAGCACTAAAACAGGTCTTGAGGTATCTTCGAGGAACCTTGAGCTATGGTTTAAAGTTCGGAGGTGCTAATATGTCTGGCTTAATCGGATATAGTGATAGTAGTCACAATGTTGACTTAGATGATGGAAAAAGCACGTCTGGACATGTATTCTATATCAATGAGTGTCCAATAACGTGGTGCTCACAGAAGCAAGAGATCGTTGCACTATCTTCATGTGAGGCGGAGTTTATGGCTGCTACCAAAGCAGCTAAACAGGCGATTTGGTTGCAGGAACTACTCGAGGAAGTCATCGGATCTGGATGTGAAAAGGCTGTGGTTCGGATTGATAACAAATCAGCTATTTCCTTGACTAAAAATCCAGTGTTTCACGGTAGAAGTAAGCATATACATAGAAGATATCATTTCATTAGAGAATGTGTTGAGAATGAGCAAATACTAGTTGAACATGTTCCGGGAACAGAACAGAAGGCTGATATTCTGACAAAAGCACTTGGGAGGACCAAGTTTAAAGAGATGAGAAATCTCATTGGTGTTAAAGAGGTGATCAAGGGTGATTTCAAGCTTAAAGGGGAGATTGTTGGAGTAAGCTAAAGTTATATTTTCTAAAAGTGTTAAGATTAGGAAAAGGAAATCAGGAATTATCTAATTATCTTATTTCAATTAGGTTTAGGAGTTTCTAAGCCTATATAAAGAGATGCCAACCTGTGACATAACTTATGAGTTTTGAGTTTTGATCTTCTAGGTTTTTGAGTGAGTTTTCCTAAAATTTAATAAAAGAGAGTTTTATTATCTTCATCTCAAAAGCTAGTTCGATAATAAACTCCATAAGTATTCCCACTAGAAACTTTCCTCACAATGCAATTTTTAGAGAACAGAATTTCCCCCTGTCTTGGTTGTTTATAGCTATGTAAATGCTATTGCCATTCTCCAGTACGATTACAAACTAAATTTTTGGTTCGTGTGCAATTCAGAATAATACAAAAATGGTTAATTTATTTGTTATACACTAAAAAATACTATTCTTTATTGTTTGGATAATTTGTTTTATGACTAGGAAGGTTCTGGGAGAAACACTCACTCGGCAAACCCAATAACAACCGAAAAACTATAATACGACGACAACACCCGAAACAGAGATCATACAATTATTTACATTATTCAATTTATTTCGTAGCATACAATTGATCTGTTCTGTAATTATTTCCATTATATAAATCACATTCGTCTAACTTATTTAGCATTTTTTTCTTCATCTTGCAAATGGCATATATATAATTAGTGACCTAATTATAGATGTTTGTGTTTTTCAGTTGCACTACTACCAAAAGAGTTTCCATATAAGGATAAATTTATTCTGTCCCTAAAACATTAAAAGACATACAGTATTGAATCCAGTAATTAAGGTCATCAACGCGGATTAATATAATATACTCTTATAACTATTGATGACATATTTCTCTATAGTTTCGTCTAATGGTTACTATAATTGTTAATGGTGGTCATCAATGATGGCAGGAAGTGGCAAGTGGCCATGGTAGCTGCTAGACATAGATGCGGATGACCGGACGAACGTCGGCGAAGATACTTGTTTGAAATATTAGCCAAAATGAAAAATTTTTGTTTTTTTTTTTGGTATTTTGGCATCTTAATTCAAAGTAAGATATATTACTTGGGTAACGTCCTAATATTTTTTGTAATTTGTAATTTTAATGCTTATACCGAAGATCCTGAAAAATATATCACGAGTATTATTTTATTAGAAAATTACGTTAGTTTCTTCTTCTATTATTAGGAGCCTTTAAAACACTAAGACTAGATATTTTAGAGCTTTAATAACAACATTGAATCCATCCAGACCGTAGGTTTTATCCTGGTGAATACTCATTCAAGTGGGTATCAACCGGATTAGCCCACACATTTGAACCGGTATAGACCTCTGAATGTGACTTTAATTGGTTTTAGTTTTGCTCTCTATAGGCGAACGGATTCAAACAAGAAAAACAAAAGTATATAGGGATGATTACCTTTTGGCGATTGCTAGCAATGAATGAACAAAATTTAAGAAGAAATCACGTCAATCAAGACGAGGGAGGTGAAGGAGAAAGCAAGCATTTTCTGCCACTAATTATTTTTCCAATTGTCTGTCAATTGCCCTAAAATAGGCTAATTTGGACAGTCGGAGGAGTCTCTTTTAGCATGTCTTGTAAAAGTAACTAGAGTACTTAAACTGTTAATTATTTATTTGGATTTAATTCCAAGAATCACAAAACACTGAAACAAGTGTATGTGCTTTGTGCGCTTTATGTAGAACAAAGCAATAATCACTTTGACTATTCTTTTTTTTTTTCTTTTTAATTGAGGTTGTACAACTCAGGAAGCTCCTTTCTCCCCACGTCTCGCAATGATCATTATTTTTGTTATTGTAAAGTATATACGTTATATACAACGAAAAGAAACAGAAAAATTGAAGAGATCATGCCATATAGCATAATGTTTTGTGTTAGTATCTTTGTTTTATCATTATCCGAGTTTAATTCCAACATTATATATGTCAAAAAAAAATTCAAGAACTTATAAAGAAAAAACGTCACCGGAATTAATCAAATGAGGCTAATTTCAACTCTTTTCTTTTGTTAAGTAGGAGAAGTTCGGGCCTGAGTCCTATTTCCTTATAGCTCGGAACCAGCTTTTACTACCATGTGATATGGTATAAAGCAAAAAAAAAAAAAAAAAAAAAAAAAGATATGGTATAAAGCATTCTACCAAAAATTGAACTAAGAGAACCAACCTGTACTTAACTCTTATTTTGATCAAAGATATCTTCAACTTAAGCAAGAGATATTATTATTTTGAGTGAATAAAAGTTGGGTTTGGGAGAGCTATTTTCCGCCAGGAATGCTACTGTATAACGTTTCCACGTCAATAAGCGAAATTTTTATATTACTAAAAAATATGCATCCGTTTCTTTGTTTATATGATAGTATATTTTTAAAACAAGAAACGAGTTAACATATTACTATTTTATCCAAAGTATAATTGTTTTAGTGATCATGAAAAGAGCATTTTATTTTGTCTTTTTGTTTTCGCTGGTCGACTGAATTAATAATGTTGCACTGTTAAGAAACAAGTGTTAGACTTATCGTTATCATTGCGAGGTTCACAAACTAAACCAGTTGATTTGATATTTTGATCTTAATGTTCGTCAAATAATCTTATACGATTACACAAGATTATGTCTAATTTTTGTTTTTTTTCTGAATACTTCCTTTGTATTTATCATAGGCTTTGACGCTTTGTCTATATATTCATTATTCATAGCATGATATTATATTGTATATATATTTGCTATCGCAACTATACATAGTTGGGCTGGAATTATTATCCGGTATCCGTTATCCGATCCGGTATTCGGTCCTATCCGATCCGTAAAAACCGGATATTCGGGTAGTTCGGATCCGGATCCGGATAGTGAAATTAAATAGTCGGTTATTTCGGATACGGATCCGGATAATAGAAAATTTTGAAATCGGATATCCGTTATCCGTTTATTAAGATATTAAAAATTTTGAAATTTTTTGGATATGCATTTAATTTTTTTGTTTTAATTATGTTTGAAAATTATTTTTGGTTTAACTTTTTTACACATGATTGAAATTTATATTGCATGATAATTTTTTATTTCAGATTGTGAGAGAAGAACATGAAAATAGATAACACAAGGATATGAAGATAAATTAACTTTTCTACTATTTTCTCTTTTGCTATGTAAACTTTTAAACTTTGTGCTATTTGAATGCTTTTTAATTTTTGGTATTTGTAATTTTTGCTATGATGATACATTTTAATTATATATGTTATCTTAATTATTATAATTTGAAAAATTGAAGATTTTTTTTTAAATCAACGAAACCGGATATCCGGTCGGATATCCGTAAATATTCAATTTAAACCGTATATCCGGTCTCCGGATATCCGAAGTTTTCGGATCCGGATCTGAATAATAAAATTGATTATCCGTCGAATCCCGTCGAATCTGGAGTCGGATCCGGATACCTTGAAAAGTCCGAATATCCGGCTCCGTTCCAACCCTAATACATACCCAAATAAATATTATATATTTATCTCTCTTTTTCAACGACTTTTTTCAGAATAGTAAAGGTTATCCTCACATACATTGACACATATATATATATACATATATATATATATAGATATATATCTTATACAGTAGTACCTAATTGAAAATATGAGAATCTCTGGTTAAACAAAAAACTTAATTGATTTTGTTTCTCCTCCCCTTCATGCATGTCCACTTAGAAGTTAGGATCTGTCTATAATCATACATTGCAACCGAAAATTATTACTATTAAAAAAAAATTTACCCTTATAAAGTAATGAAATTGGTTCTCATTAAATTTGTTCCACACGAATCAGCACTCTTCCCTAGACTTAACTAAGAACAATTTTATATTCCATTATTGGAGGGTCGTGGGGTGGCGAATGAGTGATACCGTCACGGTGCATGTGCAATTCATAAGCGTCACACACGGAGATATTAGCTTAGATCGAACGGTAACGAAGATGCCTGTGACAAAAAACGTCGGTGACTCTAGCAGATCATCAAAATCTCTGAAAAAAAGGGAGTCAGTAAGATGAATGTAGCTGTTATATAAAAGCATTAAGATATTGGAGTTGACTTTTTATAATTGATATTTTGTGGGTTCAATGCATAATAACCTCTTTTTCTATATAAACACAAACACATAAATATAAGATAAGCTCAAATACTAACCAAACCTTTCATCATCTTCTTCACAACCCTCAGTTTTTGAGAATCAGACTTGTTCAGTGGTAGCGTACGCATCTCTATGTGTTTGTTGTCTTTTCTTTTTCTAAAAGTCGGTTTCTGATTTTGATTCTTTGTTTGTGAGGTGGCTATCTTCGTTCTTCTTCGTCTTATAACGTAGTAACAGCTTTATAAAAATCCTTGAAAGCATGTAAATTTAAGTCCCAGATCCATTTTCTTCTCTCCCAAAAAAACAAAAAAAAAAAGTTTTTGATTTTTATCATTTATAGATCTCTCTCACTCGTTATAATTTGTGTTTGGTGAAACTAGTCCTGGCGAAGTTTAAAACACAAGTGTAAACCCAAATTTATAAAAACTTCAGATCATGTAAATTTCGTCTTTATCAAATTTATTTCCTTTCCCTCAAAACAAAAACAAACAAAAAAAATTAGAATTTAGTATCTTATCTTAAAAAAAAAACCAAAAAAAAAAACTTAAGAAAAAGTTGGGGATGGCTCCGCCGGAGGCTGAGATGGGTACGGTGGCGGTGACGGCTCCTCCGACGCCAGGAACGCCGGGAGGACCGTTGATCACGGGGATGAGAGTGGACTCAATGTCGTTCGATCATCGTAAACCGATGCCTCCATGCAAATGCTTACCGGTTATGGGAACTACTTGGAGTCAACACGACACGTGCTTCACCGATTTTCCCGCTCCTGGTGTCTCCCTCACTCGCAAGGTACGTATAAACTCTCTTCTTCTTTGCTCCATTTATTTGTTTAATTTATTTATTTATTTTCTCTAAAGTTATATTTAGAAAACTTTGGAATTGACGCGTGAAAAACAATAACAAATAGTACTATATAATTTGATAGATCAATTGCGCAAATTACAATGAGATCGAGACGTAAATAATTTATTATAGGGAAACTCAGGAACCGATCGCACATTTATGGTTCAGTAGTTTTTTTATTTTGTAAGCTTTGAAATGGAGAGAAGTAATCACCAAAAAGATAATATTTTTTATATTCTTTTTAATTCAAAAAGATCAAAGGGTTTACGTCACACTTGGAAGAGATTGTAACACGACATGAACTAGCAGTCGGAACCGAAAATTAAAAGAAACTGCCGAGTAGAGTATATGATAAATATATAAAATACAAACAAAATTGATATTAATAAAATAAAACTACAGAAACAGGTAAAGTGTAGTACTATAAGTATAATTAAGGCCCACCTCAACTTAAATTATTCAATGGGCACCGATTTCCTCATATTTGAATTTATGTAATGTATATATATATATGTATATTATTTTGGTTTAAATTATTAAATAATAACATAATAAAGTAATAAAATACAAAATTAATAAGACGTAAAATTTAAAACACCAACAATCATTTATTTATTAGATGAATAACGTTTTGTTTACTAGTTATAAATTTAATATATGCAGTATACATTTAAAATAGTTTATTAATTTTGAATTTTTATTATTATATATGTTACTGTCTATTCAATAGAATCACGTTCTGAAAACGTAAGAAAATTACATACTGTTTAACCATATCGTTATTGTGAGGGTAAAACTCAATGAGCTAATAGTCTTGATTCTTGAATGTGATAACATATTCTTTAATTGTTTTATTAAACACGCAAGTTGCAGAAATATAAAGTTTTTTTTCTTTTGAGGAAAAGCAAAATGATCACACAAATAAAGAAAAGTAATGGTTTTTCTAGTGACGAATACAAATTAGATAATTATTACTTCAATATTATATTTTACATTTTTATGGAAAAATTATGTTACGTATGGTTCGGTTAGGTCTTCAACTCATGTAATTGTTGTGAGCGTTTCTTCTCTGTCCATGACGGAAGCAGCCATGGCTCCTTATCTTTTTGTCATCAACCAATAAGATCATTACTCCGTAGAGTTAACTATTATTTGCGATGCTATGTATGATTAGTACTAATTATATAATGGCTCTTTTGCTTAGCTTTTTATCTTTTATTGATGCTAGTTCAAGTGAGAGGTGAGAAAATGGACAGCTCATACGATGTACTAACCGTTGACTGTATTTAACTAATTAATAATTAAGTATATTCCATAGAAAGTAAAAACAGTTGCATGAAAATCCATTTACAAATAGCATAATCCATATATTAAAAAATCAAACACCAGAAACAAAACTAAATTTTGATAGTATCTTTTAGTGATGATTCTTGATAATTTCTTTATTTTGTGACAAAAAAAACTTTGAGATATCAGATAAATATTTAGTAAATTTTGTATCTTCAAATAAACATACACTTGCTACACAAGAAACGTCTCTCTTTATAGCCTCTCTATTCCTCTTCTCACTTCATGTGGCTATCTTGTGTGTGATGCAGCTCGGAGCAGAGTTCGTTGGAACATTCATCTTGATATTCACCGCTACGGCCGGTCCAATCGTAAACCAGAAATACGACGGAGCAGAAACCCTAATCGGTAACGCAGCATGCGCAGGGCTCGCAGTGATGATCATAATCCTCTCAACGGGTCACATCTCAGGGGCTCACTTAAACCCATCACTGACCATAGCATTCGCAGCTCTTAGACACTTCCCTTGGTCCCACGTGCCTGCTTACATAGCGGCTCAAGTCTCAGCTTCTATTTGCGCTTCGTTCGCACTCAAAGCTGTTTTCCATCCTTTCATGTCGGGAGGTGTCACTGTTCCATCTTCTAGTATCGGACAAGCATTTGCTCTTGAGTTCATCATCTCTTTCATTCTCCTCTTCGTTGTTACTGCCGTTGCCACCGACACTCGTGCCGTAAGTCTCTCATTCTCTAACTGATTCTATATATTTTAGTTTGAATTTTCCAAATTTTAAACGCAAATGGAATAGCAAATAGTTCCTCCTTCGTTTGTGGAAAATTGCACGACCAATTCATACACAAACTAGCTATGGTTTACGGTTAGAATATATACATGAACTTTAAAGATGTACATATTCATATACCAAGTACATACTTTGTTTGATGTATGATTTAGCAAATTTGATAGTTGGTGCATGAATCTGCATAGTTCACGTATCGTAACGGAAGCCAAAAATTCTGTATGAATTAATCTTTTTCCCTTTAGTTTGGTTTTTGCGTTGCAATTTACCCATGTTTTTTTTTAATTAAAACACTCAAAAGTTTTGGTTACATTTAAAAGAAAGCAAACTACATAATCGGGACGGTATCCAACTTTATAGATTCCAAATCCTTTTTTTATATTAAAGTTATGGTTGTGTTGTAAGAAATTCTTTAAAAAAAAAATTCCGATTCTGAAATGAATCCAAAAAGTTTTTTGAAAAAGGAATTTTACTCTTCTTTTCTTAGGAGCCCTATTAGCTAGAGATGGTCCTAACCATAGCATCTACACGTAAATACAAAAATAATTATACAGAAATACATAAAGCTTTATATTTATTAGCCAGAGATAGTTTTATGTGGCTAACTCTTTTTAATGAGTATTCTTTTTTCTTTAATTGGGTTTGATGAGCAGGTTGGAGAATTGGCCGGAATAGCTGTTGGAGCCACAGTCATGCTCAACATTCTTGTCGCAGGGTAAATCCAAATAAAGTTTTCTTAAGCATCAGATTTTTCTAGAATCATTGCATCAAAAACGTTTCTAAAACATTTAAGTTTTGTATAGGCCATCGAGTGGTGGATCTATGAATCCGGTGAGGACTCTTGGACCAGCTGTTGCATCAGGAAACTACAGGTCACTTTGGGTTTATCTGGTGGCTCCTACACTTGGTGCCATATCCGGTGCAGCCGTCTACACAGGTGTCAAGCTTAACGACAGTGAGATCGACCCGCCTCGTCAGGTTAGGAGCTTCCGTCGTTAAGTTGAGTGAGAGACTTGTCCACAAGTCTTTTGCTTGATACTGTTAATGTATACTTATAATAATGTAAGATATAAAAAGCTTTGCAAGCTTGTGTGATGAATAAAAGGAGATGTGACTACAAGTCCACGCTCTATGTGTGCATCGGTTTATAAAGCTGATGCGAACTTGTCTTGTCATTGTCGTCAAATTGTGTCTGTGTAATAACATACTTTGTTTGGTTTGAGTTTCTTTGTTGGTTTGCTGTTTGTACGTACCTTGGAGACGAGGGTGTTTTATTAATAAAATTTGTTGTGTTGTGTGTAAGAGTTTCTCTAACTATGCCGATTTATTGTGAAATGTTATTGATCTAAAACTCATCTCTTGAATGAAAACGAAGAATTTTTGGAATTATCTCATCCAAAAATTTGATTCAACATGCACAAAAGAAAAGGTCACGTTAAAGAATGATGACTAGTTAAGTGGATATGAAAAAAAGATACGGATCAAATAAAATCATGAAGATATTTTAACAAGCCTAACAAATAGTAGAGGAAACATTCATTTGAGAATATTTTGGATTATTGAAATGATTCATAGTTTCTTGTATCTTGTATTAATGTCGCAAATCACTATTTTTACTTCATTAATTTGTCTACATAATGGAGAATAGACGTTTTATAAATAGATGTTTTATATAAATAGACTTCTCTCTCATAAGAGGGCGAGGAAAAATTGTATTTAAGACAACAAACTATTACAAACCATTAATGATACACTAAATGATTCATGAAAACAAATTATCTTTCATCAGGTTGTATCAAAATTAGATGTAGGAAATAAAAGTATTAAAAAGTGATGTTTAGCTGAACGGCGATATCGACAGGTTTGCAATGGCGAAGAGTTAGAGGGATAGAGAACCTATTAGGAGAGAGAGATAGATACTATCTCAGAAAAAACTAGTGGATGTGGTGGCAATTTAATCTCAATCTTATCATCAGATACCTGAATATTATAATCGAGATCCAATTAACTTTCACTAAAATCTTGCATTGCCGTTGATTTCTACGTTATTGTATGAAAGAATGTTAAAATTAGTATTTAATATATAATATATAGAGAATTTTGATTCTAGTTTAATTTTTGATTAATTTATTAATTATAATTTTTTTGATGGATATCGGATGTAATTTCTCTTAATATTATGTTTCCCATTCAAATAAATTCCGTTTTGACATATGAGTATACTCCCTCCGTTTCACAATCGTTCTGACATTCTTTACACAAATTAAAAAATAAGATAAAAAGTTTCTTATACTCTTATTAATTTGCAGAAAATGACTTTTGAAATTATATTTATAATTAATTTTTTAATTTATTGAGGTTAAAAATAGTATTTTATGTTAAAAATTACATTAGAATTCTAAAACAACATTTTTTTTGAAACAAAAAATTAGTGTCAGAACGACACTCTTTGTGAAACGGAAGTAGTATTTAATTACAGTGTTCGCATAGACGAATCTGTCACTCCTACAATTCGGTCATTCCAATTTCCAACGATCATTTTTACCGAAAAGCCACCAGAAAAGTGGACGGAGCCACTTACACAAATATAGTTGATCTCACGTACTTTATACTTTAATTTCCCTTCATTCTAGCGTCAATGTTTGGCTAATTAAAAAATATTTGATTATTTGAAGAATACACGTAATCAAAAGTGTTTGTTTATGAATATTTAATTGCAAGAATCAAGAATCAAGACATTGTAAATCTACAAATGCAGAAATTGTAAAGAATTGGTCGGTTGTTTTAGCAAAGAATTGGTCGTTTCTACTTCTAATTTGAGATTTTTTGCAGAATTTCTTGCTCCTTCTCTGTTTTCTGTCTCCCTCATCTCTTTATATAAGAGTCCTGGGCCTTCGGGTTGGGTCGGGTATTTCGGATATCAGGTTATTTGGATCTGAAAGAATTAGGTCCATTCAGTTATTTTGTAAATTTTGGTTCGGTTCGGTTCGGTTCTTTTCGAATTCACGTCGGATTTCTTTTTAAAAAAAAACCGAATTGGACCCAAAACTTTTTAGATTTTAAAAAAAAAACCCAAATAAGACCTGAATAGACCTGAATAGACACAAGGACCCGATAATATTGCACATAATATGAAAATTTTGCTATGTAAAAATTTAAAAACAAACAAACACTTTGAATAATTCGAAACATAACAATAAAACTTCAAATGAAAGTGTTCAACAACAACAAAGCCAATATTCAAACTTAGACCTCCAAAAGAAGCCAACAACAACAAAATCATCCCAAAACATTACCATGTTCCAAAAGCATTTCCAAAGGCAAGTTACAAAGTCTAAATTAAGACAAAGAACACAAACAAAAAGAAGATCAGTGTCTCACTGTGTTATCTCAGACTCTCAGCCTTTTCATTCTGTGTAAGTGGTCTAATGTCTACCACTTGTGCTGCAAAAAACAAATAGGATCATAGCCTCACACTCTCACTCACATATAAGCAAAGTAGCAACTAGCAAACCAATCATAAGTAATCGAATATAATTATAGTCTCATACCTTATTGCAGATGAAAAATCAGTTTTCTTTTTCACCTTTATCTTCGAACTCTAAAAAAAGGAGTTATGAAGCTAATGTAATCTTGTTCTTTTTATTAGAGTTCGACCAACTGAAAAAGACTTGAATGAATGTAATGTTTACCTCTCTGTAGGTTGTCTTCATATTCAGTCTCAGCAAGCAATTGCTCATTCGTAACAGCAACTCCCCTCTCATTCAAGTGTATCTCAGTCTTCATCCATTGCTGGGTCAACATTATAACTTCTATCATATAATGTGTTAAGCAACTTCTAGAAGGACTTAATATCCGGTTGCTTGTGCTGAAAGCAGACTCTGAAGCAACAGAAGTAACCTGCATTGCTAGAACATCTCTTGCAATCTCAGATAATACAAGATATTTTTGGCGGTTGAGACTCCACCAACCCAACACATCATACTCTACACCACCCATAGTTGTCTTTGGATTCTCGGTTCTCTCCTTTAGATACAAATCTAACTCGTTACTTGCATCGTGAAACCCGATTTCACTTGCCATCTCTTTGTATAAAGATTCCATTTTTTCATATCCAAACTCTGACTCTAAGTCGAAATCACCAGCTACCAGCTCTTGAGAATCTTGTGAATTGTGATTCTGAGTCTGAGATGATGATGCTACAGACTGAGAAGATGAGGGGTTCACAACTGGGATCTGAGCAGCACTGTACTCATCAAATAACTCCTTCAGAACATCTACAACTGAGTCATGAAGTATTTTAGCTTCAACACTCACATATCCGCAAACTTCATCTTGTTCCTTGGATCCAAAATACTAACAACAATCAACAACAAATTGATTTTCTTTGTTCCACCCCAATACTTATCAAAATTTTCCCTCATTGCTATGGCTTTACTCACTAAACCCTTATCACCCTCATTGCTAAGCTTAATGGGGTTTCTTTCAATCGTTACAATTTCGTTGTAACACTTGTAAGAGTTGACAGAAGTGGAAGCTGATACCACTAGAGTAGACTTGTAAAAAATGATTAGAAACCTTGCTAACCTTGCCACAGAATCCCAATCATCTGGTGTAGGCCCCCCAATCCTTTTCGTTCCATCAACCTTTTCTTGAAAATAATCAGTGTACAACTTGTCTTCTTCAGCCATCTGCATGAAGGCAGACTTGAACTTAAGAGTTCTCAAAAGCATCAGATAGGTGGAGTTCCATCTGGTTTTGTAATCCAGAGTTAAACTCCCCCTTTTCATCCTCCGTGACTCAACTCGAAGATCAAAAGCCTTCACTCTATTCGTCGAAGCTCTTACATAACTGACACTATTACGAATTGCAGTCACGACAGCATCCATTTCAGCTAAACCATCCCTTACTACCAGGTTGATAATATGAGCAAAGCATCAGAGATGCATATGCTGACCTCCTAAAAACAGCTGACCTCCTCCTTCAACGAATGCCTCCCTGAACCTCCTCAAAGCTGAGGTATTTGCAGTTGCATTGTCCACCGTAATGGTGAACAACTTGTTTATACCCCATTCAACTAAAACCTCAATCAGAACAACACTTATCGTTTTCCCCTTATGGTCTGTGACAGGCCTAAAACCTATAATTATCTTCCTAAAATTTCAATATTCATCAATGAAATGTGCAGTAATCACCATATATGAAGATGCTGTCGTTGGAGCAACCCAGATGTCTGTTGTCAAGGAGAGCCTTTGCTTATTAGCCTTTAAGATCTACATCATCGCTGATTTCCTCTTGACAAACATCTCAATGATGTCACGAGTAGCTTGTCTTCGAGAATGTTGTGTAGGGAGCTTCATCCTTGCACAAAAATGTCTTAAAGACAAACTATCTACAAACGCTAAAGGCAGCTCACCCAAAACCACCATCTCATTACAAGCTTCATAGAAAACTTTCTCGGAGACCTTTGATAACTTGAGCTCACCTTCGTTACCTTTTTGATTTAGAGTGTGTTGGGATTGAGCTTTGGTCGCACTCCATGACGCATATGCCTTGCAACACAATAAATGTTTCTTCAAGCTTGTTGTCCCGGATGTTGTCTTACCACTACAAGAGATCCGTTAGAAGACGTCACATTTCTAACGTCGTTTGATAAACCGACTTTAAAATTAGAAGTAAGAAGCGGTTTAGCGTCGGTTTAATAAGCGACGTAATTGATATCGGTTATTAAAGTAAATTAATTCGTCGCTTTTTGGGACACCCACACGATACTTTCATTATCTGGAAAATTCAGAGAACTCCACTTGAATCGACCATAAAGTTTTTCATTATCTCTCGTCTCTGATTACTTTGAATCTTTCATCATTCTCTATCGGAATTCATATCCGGGAAATCAAATTTCGATTCGATTCTGTAGTTTTTCTTTTCTATCTTGTGATACTCGTAAATCGGCTCCAGAACGAAGAAATTATCGATCATTATGTTGTCTCTCTGATTCAATAACTTGGTTTTATAAATAATTTAGATTTGATTTGATGTTATGATGGATTCGTAGAAATTGTTTGGTAGGGTTTTTGGATAGAGTCTTCGGTGAGGAATATCCAATTTCAGAAATCTTAGCTCGATTCGAAGGTAATTTCTAATCAGATTTTGATTGCTTTGATCTCTTTTAATTTGGAAGAACTTGTGGTGTCACTCAATATTTGGTCTCTAATTTGCTACTTAGTCAAATCATTTTCCTTGTTTTGACGATGAACTTTCAGATGGAATCTGTTATGTCGTATGTGAAATGGGAGTTTGGGAATGAAATGGTAGATTATGCAGTTCTGACCTAATTAAACTGTAAAGCTAATTCTTTGATGAAATAACTTCACAGAATATACAGCGTAAGCACGATGATCATATATATGTTTACTATATCTTATGATCATATGTTTACAGAATATACAGCGTAAGCACGATGATCATATGTGAACATTACATATTTTGTTTTTTTATTGGTGCTCAAATTATAATACAAATCAAACTATGTGATATTTGCAGAGATGCAAGAGGAAAGACGACATTTATATGATTCCTTATGTTGATCCTACAACTAGCTTGTCTTAAAAGATTGAGGGTGATCTCTGTATTTTTTTCTGTATCTAAGCATGTGATGAACATTGGAAAGGAACGATTGCTCTACTGGAAATGTTACTTGTTTCATTCTACTTTAACCTTGTAGAATATTTTTATGTTGCAGCAAGACGAGACATGCTTCAACCAAGTCTAAGGAGAGCTTCTTATTGCATCTTAGATGAGACGGGATCGAGGTTAATCTAAGAGGGAACCAGAACACATGAGGTTAGTTCTCTGTTCGTTTGAGTAGTTTAATTGTTTATTAAGGCGTAATATAGACTGGAATGATCTTCTAGTGCCTTATATATTGCTAGAGACATTCCTTACTATAGGACTTGATTAAATGTAGTTATTATGATTCTTGAGAGTTCAATTTTCGAATACAAACTACGTTTGAGTACAGTACTTGTTTGTGTCAGCTTTCTATTCACATTGATTAATTACAATTTATAGGAGAAACTTACCTAATTGAATCATAATCTTTCAAACAGAGCATCAAGCATTCGTTGTATGTTTGTTCCGTTTAAAATAACTGTAGTAGATGTGTATGTATAAATACATATAGTGATATATTTGTATAATGTGATATTATTCTAAAACTAAATAGTTCTGTAATTTTTATCTGATTTCAGGGTTGTTACAAAGACGGGAGCTTTTTTAGAAGAGTACTACAAATATGTAGGCAATATTGTGTGTTGTGCATAAGATAGAAAACAGAGTTGCTTTATGTGTAATAAGTAATAACATATTAATTATTTAATTTTATATCAATAATTTGATTATTTGGAATCATGTTTTGTAAATCCTAGTGGAATCACATTTTTACAAATTTTCGTACATTTAATAATTAATTAATATGAATATAAAAAGTTTCGCATAGTTGCGTCGGTTTTATAACTGATGCTTAATACTACAAAAGAAACGACGTTATAATTTTGATGTTAAATTTGACGTCACTTATTTATCCGAAGAAAAATAATTTGGCGTCAGGCGTTGTTACGTTCCTTTAGAAACCGACGCTATTACTTTGGCTTCAGTTAAATACCGACGTTAAGTAATAAATCAAACGACGTTAAAAGCCTTTTTTTTGTAGTGTACATCCCATCTCCTTCCGACAGTAGTTGCAAGTGCACTTATTCTCTTCGCGAGGTTCAGTTCTTGTGTAGTGTTGCCAGACGAAGGACCTTGGCGTCGTGTTACACCTCTTCTCCGCCGGTGTAGCTTTCCTCTTCTTACTTCCACACGCGGATGCAGGTGCAGGAGCAGCAGTCTCGAATTTCTCTCCTTCATCTTATGGTTCGTAATCACTCAGGTGAGGTGATGAAGAACCCATCTACAAAATCAACTCGATGAACCTGTGTCGGTACTTGGTCTCGGTCCTTAACGGGTTATCCCCAAATCAAAAGAAAAAAGAGAAATCTAGGGCTAGAAGAAGATTCAACAACCAACCCATACCTGCGAATGATGATTCCTGGATGAAGCTGTGTCGGGATTTCGATTCGGAAGAGATGGTGTCGGTGACTGGAGTTGGAGGTGTCGGTGTCGTTCTAGGACTTCCAGCTTGAATCTATTTACAAGAAAAAATAGAACAAATAAGGTAAAGTGAGAGAGAGAAATCGGAATGTTTTCATAAGGTCGAGTCTATTTGAGGATTTCATAACCAAAAAATAAAATAATCACACAATTAACATATAACTAACTAAACTTTATGTTCTAATCCCATCCATCGATAAATTAGATGGCCAATCGTAGATCTATATTATTTATCTCTAATGTTTTTTTTTGCAGGTTATTTGGGTATCCGAATGAATATCGGGTTTTACCCGAACCGATCCGAGACCCGACATATATTTGCATAAGAACCAATTGGGTAATTTGGCAGAATTGAATCAGAACCGAACCTTGATTTCTGGTTCAGGTCGGTTTGGGTCTTCTCGGGTCGGTTTTTAAGCCCAGGACCCCATGCACCTCGTCAATCCTATTTCCTCTCGAATTAAGAATCAATCACTGATGCTAAGAGATCAAGGGTTACTTCTAGCTTCACGTTTTAAATTTATAACCCTAAATATCTACAAGTGCACAGATGTACGTTGTAGTACTTAGGGGTCGAACCACAAAGATTTTAAGATTTCAGTGTGAATCAATCAAGACTTAAGACTAGCAGAACAAGTAAATGGGGGTTTTTGGTTTTGGTGTTACTAAATCTAAGTGTAAGTCGAAATAAAAAGGTTGTAAAACAATGGGAACAAATCGCTGGGTCTAAAGGGTTTTTGCAGGGGTTCATGAAGTGATCAAAAGACAAACAAATCGATAAAGGAAATCAACTAGTGAGGATCCCGAACTCGAATAGACATATGTAAGATTAGTCAATTGTCGTCACCCTAATCATCTAATCACTCAACACATCAATTAACTCTCGCTCTCATGCTGCGAATAAGATCATGCATTGAAAACAGAATTCATCCATGCTCGCGATTCTCTATAGGTAGCTTTCGTCTCCTACAGCGATTTCGCTCGATCACTTCTAGGTCTGGTAATTCGATACAACACTCTCGTGGATCCAATTACTGAGATCAATTTCTAAGCGGTTAGCAACAGAAACATCATAGGGAACAAGAATGAACGAAGGACTCCTAGAAGACTTTGAACCCTAAATCGAATAAAGCATAAGATCAAGACATGAAATTCCCTTTGAAAAATCCCTTAAAAACCCAACTCGGAAATTACTCAGACATATTTGAATTCAACATCACAAGAGTATTTAGAATTGCAGAGAATTGAAATAGACAGAGTTTAGAAACGAAGAACAGGTTCAAGAATGAGGGCCGATGGTGCCCCTCTCGGTGGCTCCTCTTCTGGGCGAGCTTCTCTTCTAGGATTCCTGGTGAAAAATGTGGCACACCCTTCTAAACGACTTTAAAGGAGTTTATTTAGTGTCTTGAGTCATCGGGAACGCCTAGGATTTGCAGGAATAATGACGGGAGTGACTTGGGATTTGATATGGGCTTCTGAGGCTCGGAATTGAGCTCCCCGCGGTCTAAAATTTCGCACCCCCGGCGGATATGTTTTGGCCGCGGGTGAGCTTCTGACTGTGATGATTTGCCTTCAGTGTATCGACCATATCTGAAGATCTAACCGTTGGATTGCTTTGATTCCAGTTGTATTGGAAAACCGGTTGTCTCCCCTATCTTGTGTCAAAATTTGGGGATGATCGGACGGTGGAAAGGCCTCCATTTGTTACCAAACTTTCGACGGTCTGAATTTATCCAAAGTCACGCTTTTTGCTCCCAAGTGCATTCCTTTTGTCAAAATAACCTGAAAACTCTTTTGAGATTCTAAAACAGAGAAATCATTTAAAAAATTTTAAATCTGAGTGAAAACACCTGCATAAAATATTAAAAATGATCCATAAAAGTGGTCAAAATCAGGTATTATCAATCACCAACTTCTGTATATGATTAAGTTACTTCAAAAAATTTGTTGGAATATGGTCCGTTTCTAACTTTTTAGTTTTTAGTGACCTTATCTAATTATTACTATTGAAGATGTTTTTTTCATTATTTTGTTGAGTTTATTAAATTTGTATTGAGTTTATTGAATTTGTATTGAGTTTATCACTATAAAATCTAATGGTATATATACAAATCAAAGTTGCGTTCTTTGATCTAGTTTTACTTGTATTGATAATATGTTTAATAGCTTCACTTTTTTGTGTTATAAGTTTTAAATAGAGTTACTTAACTCTAAACTAATGATTGACCATAAATTTAGATAGATACTTAAAAATTAGGTGGTTATGAAAGATAAAAAAATTATCCTATAAATATTCTTCAATTTTATGTTAATTACAAAAATACCATTCATCACAATATTTTTATTTTCAAGTTAAATTGATACTGTTAATAAATTTATCGTCAATTATCTTTCTATTAGTTGATCTATTCGTCACATACACTATTCATCATCATTATTATATTATAAAAAATTGAAAATTAACGCAAGTATCGTGTTAACTCAGTTACCATATTAAAACAAATTTATGTAGTTACTTGCTAACATTGTATGTTAACATACTAACAATAATATCTGATATTTGTTAACATGCTAACAAAGTTAACAATAATATCTGTTATTTATTAACATACTAACAAAGTTAACAATAATATTTGATATTTTATTACCATGTTATCTGATATTTATTAGCATGTTAACATGCTAAATGAGCTACGTAAGAAAATAGCTCATTTACGTCGGACCAAATCGATATAAATTCAACGCAATATAAGAATTCCGTCAAATTTACGTCAAATTTTTGTTTCGACGTAATTCTATCGTCGTAAACCACAAATCGACGTAAATTCGACGTAACGTTATATATCGACGTAATTTTGACGGTCTAAAATCGACATAATATTGACGTAAATATTACATCGAACTTACGACATCTTTATCGATGTATATTGACATCGATTTTACATCAATTTTTACGTCGGCTTTACATAGTTTTTAAAAAATCGACATAAAATCCTTGTAACAAGACGACGTTAAATCGACGTAATTATATCGATGTAAAATTGATGGTCGACATAACTTTGTCGGTAATTTACGACAGATTTACGTCGATTTGCAAAATACTAAAATAGAAAAAATTAGAAAATTAAAATTAATAATTCGAAAATAATATTTTAAAATCATTATAAAATTCTAAAATTATTACAAAATACATAATTTCCAAATTAGTTCTCTAAACTAATTACAAAATCATCTATACTAAGATCCCTATCAGCATTAATGGTAGTTGTACCTCGGATGCCGCAGGTGGTGGAGGTGGCGGTGGAGGTGCAGTTCCTGAACTTTTGGGAACGTGCCAGGAAGAAAAACTCAGCATCTCCTCAGCGTTGGTGTTACTAGTCGAGCTACTCGTACTAGTACCCTCGCTCAAAAACTGCATGTAGTGCAATTGACGGAGGGTCATATCTGAAAAACATTTAAAAAAATATATAAAATTAATTATATAATTTTATATCTAATTCTGATCTTATATCTAGTTTCGATCTTATATCTAATTCCGTTCTTATATCTAATTACCTCATATTCTATATATATATATTTACAAAAAAAAAAGTTACTTGGAAGAGGAGACCAAACTCGCTAAGGAAAGGAAGGAAAAGGAATGAGCAACGATTTGGAGAAGTGGCATCCCATATATATAGAGAAGGGATCGACGTAATGGAGATGCAACATGGGATCCACGTTGCATCGTCGAATTCAACGTAAATTCGATGCAACATGGATCCCATGTTACATCTCCATTACATCAAAAATATATAAAAAAAAATATATATATATATATATATATTTAAAAAAAAACGACGTAATTTCGATGAGATATTTGTCCAAAAAATTGTATTTTCAATTTTGAAGATGTAGAAAGGTTCCATATGTTATAAATGGATGTGTGTATTACTAAATTATAGATAAAAGAAAGGATCAGAATTTTTTTATATGTAATTAGCTTCTAAGATAACATCTTTCATCAATGTACATATATACTTATAAGAACTTTATTACATGCATTCTCAATACTTTTTTGAAGTTTTTTTTTTTACCAGAAACTATTGTGTACATTGTATAATAGTGCTACTAGGAAGGATGAAAACATTCTAAAACATTGTAAATGAACCTTTTAAAGTTTAGGGGTTGATTTTTACATCGAAGTTACGTCGATTTCAAATATTTCGACGTCAAAATGATGTAATTTTCAGTCGTTTTCAGAAATCGATATAATTTTAACGTAAACTTAAAATCAATACTTTAAATTTTTACAATTATGTTCAATTAATTGTAGCTTCCTTAAACTACTGTCATACCTCAATCCAGAAAAAGATGTTTTAAGGACAAATATTGCAAACCCTATGTTAGGGTTTAGCTCTTGCATCGAATTTACGTCAAAAATGTAAAGATCGACGTAATATCGATGCAAATGCAAAACCCTCATATAGGGTTTGCAATATTTGTCCTTTGCAATATTCATCATCAGTTTCAGCAAATTCATCTAAAGAATCCTCTTTAGTGTCATCATTGGGAAGGTCTTCAACTTGTTTACTGCGTAGATCACTTAAAAGGGTATGTTCATCAACCTCTGGTTCAGTGATGTCAGGACATGTATCTTGTTGCATAGGTTGTAGATCTACACCATCAAGTATACTCCGTGGAGCCACTTTAATGATCGCTAACCATGTTATCCCCGTATTTCAAACTCGTGGATATGAAACAAATGTCACTTCAGATAGATTAGATCAGCCCAATCGTTCATGCAAACTTCAGATAGATTATGATCAGTCTTAATGGTCATCATCCTAGCTGCTAATGACAATTTAGGAAGTCCTTCTCTACATCCATCGTATAGTGGTTGTTTTGCAGCATTTAACATATCATAAAAGTGTTTGGCATCTGCATTGGGTTCCTCAACTATATCATCATGCGTCTCATCCTAAAATGCATCTATAACCATATCATACATCCTATCATGATCTTGACCTTGATCATGACTACTTTGATAATAATTTGATGCATTAAAATTATTATCCCCAACGCCTTCATCCTGAATATTACTACCACCCGTATTCCTACCAGCTGGCCGCCAAATATTATCACCACAACGCTCTCCATGTTGATACTAAATAAAGTATTGCGGCATAAACCCTTTATTTAGAAAATGCTTCCACACTGTTTCGATTAAGACATGTTTCCTAACTTTGCATTTCAAACAAGGACAAAACATCATTCCACTTTCTGTGGTTGTTTGCATATTGCCGGCCTAATTTATAAACATTTCTAGCATGTTCTTGTAATCTTCCATCAAACCCTCTTCCACATTTTCACGCATATACATCCACTTTCGTAGATCGTATATAGACATTTTTAGAAAATTTTAATTTTATTTAAAACTTTGTTATTTTATTATGACAAAGTTTATAAAATTATACTGAAAAACTCAAAGACTCAACACAATTGTGTCTTTATAAGTTTTTTTTTTGCTAGATTATGATAGAAGTGAGAAGATATTTATAGAAATTTGGTATGAGTAGCAACAATTTTGCATGGAAATTTTGCATCGAATTTGCAATAAATTTTTACATCATTATTACATCGAATCATGACGAAAATAAGATTCATCGTAAAATCGATATACAATTTACATCGATATTACAACGAATATATTTTGGTCGTCAAATCGTCGTAATGCTGACGCAATTTTACATCAAATTTACGTCGATCCAGATCTGCGTCGAGTTTAAGTCGATTTATCAAAACAACATAACTTAGATGTAAATTCGACATAAATTTCGATTTAAATTTGACGTAAAAGTTCGATGGTATTACCATGTTTTCTTGTAGTACATGTAATGTGTTAACATAATATGTTAGCTTGCTAACGATACATAAATAATTTATGTAACATGTTAACATAGTATGTTAATTTGCTAACTATAATATATAATATTTATTTTCTAGTTTTGGTGAATCTGTCGTTGTTTTTCAGTTAATTTATTGTAAATGTTATTTCTCAGATAAAGTTGGATCATGTGGTCATAGTTATAATTTTTTTGGCCGTCTCCGTTCAACCTCACCCCCACTACTTCTGATGGAAACGTCCAAAATGAGGATGAAGAAAAGCCCATCAATAAGCAGAGAAACAATGTTTATTTTTGTTCTACCATCAACTTTGTAAATTAATTCTTGCACATAGAGAGAGAAAGATGGTATTATGGGAGTCGAAGAAGAAGAAGGAGAAAAAGAAGAAGAAGAGAAAGGAATTGATGGAGAGAAAAAAATAATAAATAAATAAAGAAGAGAAGAAGTAGATAGTAATTTTATTTCTCTAAATACTATTGAAAATGTATCATAATTGGTCAACTTAATTATCTAGTTATCTGTTAGTACTTAGACCATTTCCAACTATTATTCATCTAAACACTAAATTTTGGTATTGTGAATAGCGTCAAATTTGGTGTTTGGATGAATAGTGGTTTTTATCATCTCCAACCACAACAGCAAATCTCACACTAAAAACAGATATTTTTATTATATTATTATTAAATTTAAAATTTTCTTTACATTTTAATAGTTTTGATAAATACTAATTATTCATATAATAGATTAACAACTAATTATTTCTAACATTACATTCAGTGATGAAAAATAATTACAATCGATAAAATAAAAAAATAGAAAATAAAATACATAATACTAATTCTCAGAATTAGCATATTCAGACCACAAATGTTCGATTATTGCATTTCGAAATTCAATATGAGCTTTTTGGTCCTTGATTTTACTTATAAGTCTTTATAAGATTTTTTTATAAAAATATATAAAATTTCTTATAAAGGTTTATAAGATTTCTTAATTTTATATTATGTCTTTAAAACTTATCTTGTTTTATTTGAAATTTATGTATGTTTGATTTTAATTTTGTAATTTTATGTTTTCAGTGTTTTTAATTGAGCTTTATTTAATCTTAATGACAGTATATATTAATTTAACTATTTTATGTATTTATAGTAATTACAATTAAATTTTATATTAATTACACTTAAAAATTATATTACTATAAATCATAAGATAAAAACACAATTTGGTATATTAATTCTAGTTATAAAATGTAATCAATTAATAAATAATATAATATTTATATTATAATAAAAGTAACAATAAAATATTTTTATATTTTTTAGAGTTTTGTAAATAGTGCAACACCAAATTTGACATTGCTCTATTCACAAAACTCTAAAAATAAAAATTTGGCTTTGCATATAGAGTTTCATTGGAGAAAAACGAACGCCATATTTGGTGAGATGTAGTTCGATTAGAGAAGCTCTTATTAGTATTACTCTTTTAAATATAAAAAAAAATCAGAAGTAATAATTTGATTTTACCAAACAACTTCCACATCTACATGTGCTCCCTATAGTCGCATGTAATATTCTCCTTCAATTGAAACAATAAAATTAGAATGGGAGAGTGAGAATCTGTTGAATCAGTTGGTCAGTCAACATCATCACAATATTTCCATTTGCATAACTTTCTTGATTTCATGATGGTAAAAGAAAAGAAAAAAAGAGAAAGATTCTACTGTGCGTCTATTCGCGTTAACTTCAATTCAACCAAAACCAAGTCAGTACCACGTCTTGTATTTGGGTAAACAATAAAAGCTCCTTTTTTCAAAATTTCACATGTAAATAGATTAAAAGGGAAGAACATTTTCGATTCAGAGCAATTTATCAGGAAAACCCAAATAGTAAAACTACAGATTCCTTTGGCGGGTTCGAGTGATTAATCTCGATTTGCCCATCAAATTAGATAGAGAGAGAGAGAGAGAAAAAGCTTGAAACTTTTGACAATTTCGACATTTGAGGATTGTTAATTAAGCGGGACCAGTATCGAAATCGAACCATATAGAGATTCCTCGGGTACACGTTTTCTTCTGTCGTTATTGATTCTCCTCCTCATCTTTGTTTCCTTGGATGTTTCCTCAGGTTTACTCTTTGACCCATCTCTAGGTTTTGCCTTCCCTTTTCAGGTTACGAAAATTGGGATTTGGGTACGAAGAAAAGCTGTTTCTTTCTCCGATTCCTTGTGACTAAATATAAGTTTTGATTCCTGGGTTTTCTCGATTATCCCCGTTCGAACCATTAATCGCATCAAAGCAGAATCTTTAATGACGACCAGTTTCGCATTTCCTGGTGATGATTCTTCGAAACAACTTGTCTTGCTTGCATCTATTTGTTCCGGTATTCTCATGTGCAAAATCGTAAGTCTCTTTGGCCCTTGATAACGTGTTTGGGTCTCGGATGCAAGAATCTGGCTGGTTTTGTTCAATTTTCTGCTTGGTTTTGGTAGGTTTATGACTTGACTGGTTTCATAAGCCCTTTGCTCTTCAGTGTTTATGGAAAACTCGACAACAAAGTTAGAATGGAATGGAACAACAGGTTTAGTTTCTTTGCATTGAATTTGATCTTTTTTTGTGGGGTCTAAGATATGAATTTGAGGAAGAGATATTTTTTATTTTTCACAGGGGATTCTCAACTTTCCATGCTGTTTTTGTTTCTGTGGCTTCAATCTATCTATTGGTGATATCAGATCAGTTTGATGAGAATGTTCATGGCGATTTAGTCATCAATAGCACAACGAGGTTATCGGAAGCTATAATGGGGGTGAGTTTTCAGAGAAACAGATCATCATCATCATCATCATCATCATCATCATCTCTTCTGTCTTTTTGTTTCTCTGCATTTGTTGGTGATAATTTGGTAACGATTGGTCTCTTAACAGATCTCCTTAGGCTATTTTCTAGCAGACTTAGCGATGATCGTTTGGCAGTTTCCTGCTCTTGGTGGTGTTGAATATGTAAGTTACTAACAAGCATATTTGATAATTTCCATATTTGTAACAAGATGTTTGATAAGAGTTGGCATTTAATTCAGTTTTCTCTTGTTACCTATTCAAGGTTTTTCATCACTGTTTATCGATGTTCTCGATCATTCTTTCTGTCACGAGTGGACAAAGTCAGTTCTACATTTTCCTAGTGCTCTTGTCAGAGGCCACAACCCCGTTTGTCAATCTTCGGTGGTAGGTTTACCGGATTTAGAAAGTGCCTTCACAAATCAATGTTATTAAAGTGGTTTTCGTGCTCTAAACGTCGAGGTTACTGGCAGGTACTTGGATACTAGTGGTAAAAAAGGCTCTAAGGCCTACACGCTTAACGGAATTGCACTGTTCTTGGGTTGGCTGGTACTGTTAAATTAGACCAAAACAACTCTCTCTGTTCTAGCATCTGAGAAAAGAAAATAAACCAAAACAAATATCTCTGCTTCTCTTCCAGGTTGCGAGGATCCTTTTGTTTATCTACTTCTTTGTTCACATGTACCTCCATTTCCATCAGGTAAGCTCAATGCTGAGCTTGTCACAGAGGAAGAAACATTTTAGAGATGTGAGTCTAAAAGTTTGTTTTGAGCAGGTGAAGCAAGTGTTTCCACTGGGGTTTTACAGCCTTCTTACGATAGCTCCGGTCCTGTCAATGATGAATCTTCTTTGGTTCTGGAAAATCACCAAAGGGTTGATCAAAACAATCTCCAAGGCGAGACACCGGGAATGAAGAAAGTTTGATGGTTAGAAAAAACTCTGCTTGACGTGAAAACAAAAAAGATTTCGATTGCATTCACTTTGATCTGTCCATGAAAAAAAAAGATTGATATCATGTTGTGATTTGTCTTTGAAGCCTTTTTGGGTTTATAAACAAGAATGTGCCAAGCTGTGGGAATTTGTATATTCAAAGCCTTCAGCTGTTTTCTTAGGTATTCAATTTGTAAAGTTAGAACCAGAATCAATGTTTCATGTCACTCGGATTTTAGTGATGTTTGTGTTTTATCATTCTGCAGAAGAACGGTTTAGGCTCTGTTTGGTCTAAACCGAATAATACTGAATAGCTTAGTAGTCATCCATGAGATCATGATATGAGTATAGTCATGCAAATAATTCTTTTTTACCTACCGTTTGTAAAAGATCAATCTTAATTATAGTACCCAACAACAAATAAGTCAAAGGCATAAGTTAAAAAAAATATATGTAACGCCAAAAATCATGATTTAAAAAATTGAAAAAAAAAAATTGATTCATTTCATTTCAATTCTTGATGTTCGACCAAAAAAAAAAAAAATTGATTCATGCGTGTTATTGTATGTTAACGTACGGTCTATTGCAAAGGCATAGATTGTTCACCATAATTTCAGCGTAAAGCCGTAAACCATGCTGTTTTGTAAATTTTTTTCAGCCAAATTTTTTTGTTACAACAATTGCATCATTCCTACAGAGTTCGAAATTACAAGCAAAATTCTTCCTATTGAATTTATTCTTATGGGGATTTAAAATATGAGACTATTTTCGTATTTCGTTTCACCCAAAACAAAGATTCTTGTTAGTTGTTAGACCATTTTTATTGCTGGTTTCTTTTGGGTTTCTAAGGGCTTTTTTGAATTTTAAAAAAAATAAAAAAGCCCAAAAGAAATGGGATCGCTCCTTATTTGGGATTAAGTAAAATCGATCCCTGCTGTGTATGTGGCATCCTCTCATTGGTCCAAAAAATTTATCGGCCAAAATCATTTTCAATGACGAGAAATCTCGGCCATTTCTCATCCTTGACCAAAAATTATCGGCCAAAAAACTATCACCCACTTCTCCTTCCTCGTTTCATCTGTTATCGTCAACGGCGTCAAATTCTCCGGCGCAAATGTTTCCTCTTCTTCTCCATCGATTTAACAGATAAGTGATTCTCTCCTTAATCCTCTTCATCCTCTTCATCTTCGTTCTTCATCCTCTTAGTCGGAAATGGTATTTTGCATGTAGTTTCTGGATTTGCTGAATTAGTCTCTGAATCGATGAATTGATGAGGTTTCCTGAATTAGTCTCTGAATCGATGATATATTTCCTGAACTAGTCTCTGAATCGATGAATTGATGAGGTATTCTGATCTGTAAACTGTTAATGCTTCATGATCTGTAAAAATGGCTGATAGGTATATGGTATATGGTTCACGATCTGTAAATCGTTTTTGGTCATATGCTCTATCTATTTCTATCTTTTTTTAGCTGAAGTTAATGGTTCATGATCTAAAGGGTTCTTCATCTAAATTGTTCATGATTGGTGATGGTTCATGATGTAAATAGTTCCTCAAATATCTGTTGCAAATCTAAACTGTAATCGGTATAGGGAGTTTATCTGTTTTAGATTAATGAAACAAAGTTTGAGGTGGTGAAACTAGATGTAAATGTTTCATCGGTTTATAGTGCTGAATTTTAAATGATAATGATTTTTGCAGATTGAAGCTTCTTCCAAAAGTCTATCTACAGCTGTTCATCTTCTACTTGGATCGTAACCTAGTTTCTTCTTCCCTTTGGTCGTTACAAAGCTTCAGATTAGTCTTCTAGTTTCCTTTATTGTAATTAATGCCTAGTTAGATATGGAGTGGTTGAGGCTTGATCAATGCTGATTTAGGTTTAATGGTTTTAAAGTGTTAAATGGTTTCTGGAAATGGTTTTTGAATGCTGATTTAGTGTTAGATATATGTCAACTCAATATATCTGTTTTTGCTTTAGTGTAGAGTAATGGCTGAGTTTAGGTTGGTTTAGGATAATAAATGGGGTTTGAACCTTGAAAAACGTTTTTGCTTTACTTCCATCAAAGTTCCTTTCATTTCCTTCATCAGTGTTGCACCATTGGCTTATTTATTAGTCGGTGCTTCCTCTCTTTCTAAACAAACTATCCTTGCTTCTTCTTCTCAGTTTGTGCTTGTCTTTTGTTCGGTTTTGTGCTTCTCCCTCTTCCTCTTCCAAAAATCCATTTTGTGCTTCATCTGTTTCTTCTGAAAACCATTCCCAAAAGCTTCTTGCCTCATCTTCCTCTCATCTTTCCTTGTACCAAAATGGCATTCTCTTCTACGGGTCCAGCTTTCACAACCTCAAACTTTGTTGAACTCTTGAACAGTCAACAAGACTCTGTTTTTTGCGGATATCTGTCTAGCTTTCTTGAAGAAAGTCCTGCATCCATCGGTGAAGCATCACCTGCAACGGAAAAGAAGGAAAGACGACAGTGGAGCCCGAGTGATGATATTCTTCTCATCAGCTCGTGGTTAAACACGAGCAAGGATGCTGTGGTGGGAAATGAACAGAATAGCCATTTATTTTTCAGCATCTTCAAAGTGTGTTGGTGAGAAGATAGAGGCGATCCAATGCAAGCAAAGATGGCAGAAAATAAATGATCAAGTCTGCAAATTTTGTGGAGCATATGAGGCTGCTTGTAGAGAGACCCAGCCTTGCGATGAAGATAATGGAGGCAAGCGACCTGCAGGTGTCAAGGCATCTAAAGCCAAGGGCAAGAAGCCAGCGGTAGAGAAAGAAGAACCATTGCTTGCGCTTCAAGTAGAGTGGCAAATTCAAGAGAAAGACTTGGAAATGAAGGCAAAAACAAGAAGATGGGTATACTTGAATGTCTTTTGGCCAAGCAAGGGCCACTATCAGAGTATGAGGAAGATGTTAAGAAGAAACTCATGACTGAATTGTTTTAGAATGGTTTTCTGTTAAAGTTTATGTTTAAGCTTTTTTTAACCTTAAGTTTGTGTTTGTACTTGCTTAATGTGGGTCTGATCTCTCGGTTAAGTACTTGAATGTGGTTGTTACTTTTGTTCTTTATCTATGAAAATGAATGTTTCTTTTTATTAACTTTTACCTTACGATTAAAACTTAAGATAACTAACTAAAGATGATGAGCTTTAAGTTTGATCTTTATATAAAAATTAACTAAAGATGATGAACTTTGCTCTTGTTGAATTATTATGCCAACTCACCTTATGTTTGTACTTGTACTATTGTGTTTCAGATAAGAGATGTGGTGACAGATTTCCCACTCGGTGTACAACAATTATTGCATAGGCGTGGCCACAAAACACCAAATGAGTGTCACAAGTCTCTTTTCTATTGCCTTGTATTTTGTTTTTTTCTTCTCAGACCACACATTGTAAAAACAATTTGACACCACATGTAAAAGTTATAGTCGTTTATTTATAGAGACTTTACTGCAATTGTTGTTTCATATACTAATCGAACTTCTTCTCTCTTTTTATCGTCACTTCTCTCTAAAGCAAAAACATCAAACTTCTTTTTACTTTGATACCAATCTAAGTTTCCATACTCTTCCTTCGTCTTCCTTCTTACTTTGCTACCAATATAAGTTTCCATACTTTGATACAAATCACAAGCTTTCTCAATTTAATTCTCTTCTTTTTCTTTCATTTCCAATCAAATTCCTTAAAAAAAATGAATACCTACGTCTAGGTGAAACAACCGCTCGTGCATGTTTGGAACATTTTGTAGAAGGAATTGTTGATTTTTTCGGTGATGAGTACTTAAGAAAACCCACCCCAGAGGATCTTCAACGGTTACTTCATTTCGGAGAGCAACGGGGATTTCCCGGAATGATAGGAAGCATCGACTGTATGCATTGGGAGTGGAAGAATTGTCCAACGGCTTGGAAAGGCCAGTATACACGTGGTTCAGGAAAACCCACTATCGTTCTAGAGGCAGTTGCTTCATATGATCTGTGGATATGGCATGCCTTTTTTGGACCTCCAGGTACATTAAATGATTTAAACGTTCTTGATCGATCTCCCATTTTTGATGATATAATACAAGGTAAAGCTCCGCGAGTAAATTTTTATGTCAACGGACGGGAGTATAAGTTAGCATACTATCTCACAGATGATATCTATCCAAAATGAGCCACTTTTGTGCAATCTATACCAGCTCCACAAGATCCAAAGTCATGCTTATTTGCTGAACGTCAAGAAGGCTACCGAAAAGATGTCGAACGTGCTTTTGGAGTCTTACAGGCTCGCTTCGCCGTTGTTAAAAATCCCGCTCTTTTTTGGGATAAAGCAAAAATAAGAAAGATTATGAGAGCTTGTATCATACTCCATAATATGATAGTAGAAGACGAACGAGATGGATACAGACATTTTGATCTTTTAGATTTTGAACATGGAGAAGGAAGCGGAAGTTCAACTGTGGATCTCTCATATTCAACGTATATGCCCTCAAACATTGCTAATATGATGGGTATTCGAAATGATATTCGGGATAAACCACGGTATGATCGTTTGCAAGCTGATTTGTTGGAGCATGATCTGGCAAAAATTTGGGACGTACTGAAGCCAACAATTAAGTTTGTATTACAAAATTTAAGTTTACATTTCAATTGTATGTTTGTGTTGTTTCTGTTTTTTTTTTATTATTTCATAATGTAATAATCTAATTAATTATCTTTATTTCCATTAAAAAAACATAATTTTTTTTTCTTACAAGAAACCATGTAAATTTCTACCAATGAACCATTAAAAACATGGTTTCTTTTAATAGTTTTTTGCCACAAATCAATTCATTAAATATTCATAAGAAACTCATTAGAAGTAATACCAACAATCATGCTCTTACGCTTCATTCCACCTTCATGGATTTTATAAATTGATTGTTTCGCTCTATTTGTATTTATATTTACTGCATTTTTGCTTGTACCGTGTACGATAGGGGACAAGGAAAAAATATATGATTGTGAGTCTCGTCTGGTTCCACACAGAGAGAACATGACTAAACAATCCCCAATTTTGTGCTTGATCCCCTGTTGCTAACTTATTCTTCACTGCTAGCCAAGTCACAAGTGATAGAAGTGTGATGTGGAATAGCTTGTGAGAACCAAACCACACGATGCCAATTCAGCACTACTTCGCTCTAACCTGATCCCACGTCTTATAAGAATAGAAGAGATTCTTATCCCATAGGAGAATGTTGGGTCCATATGACATTATTGGAGAAAGTGTGGACCGAATATTTTGAAGCATTCCTTGTATATAACATAACACTAAAAATCACATTATATTGAAAAAATTTATAACCCAACCTTTTTAGATCATTTAATAAGTCAACTAAAAATAAAGATCATATGGTTCAAAGTCAATTTTTTTGATCAATTCTAGTAAATAAATTATCTCTTATCGTAAAAAAAAATCATAATAATTAAGATTTAAACAAGTTTTACAAACAAACACAAATATTAACAAAATCACTAAATTAACTTTATATTTTGTGATCAATTTTTTGTACAGAAGCTCTTTTGGTCTAATGGTAGATAAATATTTCATTAATGTTTTATACATTAAGAGATCCAGTTTTCGAATTCCTGAAAATATGATCGATTTATTATTAAATGCAGGTCAACGGAGATAAATTTACATACTGTAATGTAATAATTCTCACAATTTATAATAGAATAATAGATCTAATGTTAAAAAAAACTTTATGTTTTATTGTTTAATTAAAAAAAATATAGAATACAACCTCATAATTTTTTTATTTATATACTATATCACACTTTAAAAACGGAAACGTAAGCTTCAAAAACAATTTTTTTTTATAAATAAAATAAAAATTAGAAAAGCAATGGAAACGAGTTTCCAAAAGATTCTGATTCCAGTTCTGATTTCAAAGGTGAAATTTTCTCGCATGGAGTTTCCATGCAACATATCTCAAAAGTTCTCAAATAACAGACTTTTTTTCATTTATTGAGATTCTATGAAGGAAAAATATTAAAGGCAAATGAGGTTTTTATTACATGAACTGAACCATACAAACCAACTAACCAAGACCTAAATGATTCTAAAGAGAACTTTAAAAAAAAAAAAACAGAAGTAACTTAAGATACTCTGGTTTATACAACCTTATTGATCACCCGCTAGTACCTGCAATAAAAGCATCATCATGTCGTTTTTTATAATTTCACAAAAGACTGCACTAACACAAATTACTAAACTACTGTTTAGTTATGTGCACGTAGATTTAAGCTCATTGATAAACTAGATCCTGTAAGGAATTGACGGAGTTATTGACATAACCGATCATTACACCAGGACTAAATAGTGTCTCCCTCCACTTATTGTGATTCATCCTCACCAATTTCCCGGTTTCACTCTCTCTTTCCATCACACTAGTGATTGCATCGCGCAAGCTCTCTTTCGAAAACCATCCTGTTTCTTCTCTAGCCACTTCAACCGAAACCTCGAGTTCTTCACTCAACAACCTTGTGTTGAGGATCTGATCACCTAATTGTGGAATCAAAACTATCTGACAATCATTCATCAAAGATTCCCACATTGATCCAAAACCACAATGGCTCACAAAGCACCCAACAGATGGATGAGACAATATCAGTTCTTGTTGAACCCATCCTCCCCAAACAACTCCTCGTCCTTTAACCTTTAGGTAGGCACAGAAAAAAAATTAATTGAAAAACTAAGTCGAAATAGCCGGATTCAAATTATAAGTTCTTTTATGAACGGTTTAGTTTCATTTTTTAAATCTAAAACAAAACTGAAACCATTTTTTTAACCTTATATCAAATTCCCCGAAAAAAATAGAAAAATCATGAAACAAAACCGAATTACAAAATAAGCTAGAAACCAAACTGGAATGAGATCAAACCGAATGGATATATAAATAAATCATTACTAATAAAGTTATTTTAAAAAATACAAGCTGGATCAAAAATTTGAATGAGTTCAAAACTGAATTGAAACCAAACGAAATATAAATAGTTTTTATATAATTCACTCACTTTTTATAGATACAGAAAACGAAAAACAACCCTAATAATTAAAAATTCATTATTTTTGATAAATGAATTAAAAGTAGGTATAACCATAATATTAAATAAATAAGTGTTTTAGGTTATTTTGTGACAAAAACCGAACTGAAATTAAACAAGAGTGGGACCAAATCGAATAAAAACCAAACCGAACTACAAAAGCTTTAATATGATGATTTATTTTTAAAGAATCAAAAGACCAAAAACTCGAATACCAAATAAACCGAATAGTAAAGTGGATTGTTCAACACTGACCCTCTCCTCGAATCCATCTGGCAATGCTTCTTGAATCGTTGATATGCCTCTTGGTGGCTTAACCGCTAGAAGAAACGGCAAACCTGTTAGTTCCATTGCTAAACAAAGTTCTTGGAACTGATCTTTCTGCAAAACAACTTGTGTCCCCAACGCACAAAACACAACCGAGTCTGGTTCAAATCCACTGAGCCAATTACTCCATTTTTCTTCTAGCTGTTTAGTCTCGTCTGGTTCAGGGAACATCGGACCCGTCAAGAGAACCCTTTTCTTGCAATGCTTTTCGATATAGTCGCAAAAGCTTCCTTCGATTTCTCTTACCGTCCTTATAGCAATGACGTCGCAGTTCATAAGACTTGTAGTGATTCGTTCCATGAATTTTGTTCCGTCATTGTTTATAGACTTCATGGAGTAGAGATCTTGTTTACGAAGCAAAACTTTTGATGAAGGATATCCCGGTGGAGGAACACCTAACTCACCACCTATAACGAATTCTATAGAATTAAAACCCATAACAATTTTATTGTATTCACCGTCTGACGTCTAATAACAATTTTCTTTTTAGTAACCAAGAAGTCCCGGAGTACTTTATGTCTATCAGTTTTTTGGGACCATGAAGCACAGCATTTAGTCTCCTCCCTAGTGGCTAGTGTCATTCTTATCAATGAGTTTGATGAGGCAAGCATTTAGTCTCTATCAGTTTTTTGGGACCATGAAGCAAAGCATTTAGTCTCTCTTTTTTTTTTTTTAATCACTTCTTTCTAAATAACCATCACTGTTTTTTATTATTTTTTTCTTTTCCTGGCATTAGTTTTATTTTTATGCTCTCCTAGTTTTTTTCCCTTCCTATAATTTTCAAATTTCTTCTGATAAGCTACATATATATATATATATATATATATATATATATATATTGACTTGCTTAACAAAAATCAATATGACAAGTTACACGACAGTCGCTAATTATTTGTGTAACAGTCAATAAATTTAAAGTTATGAAAACTAACGTATACTTTTGGAAATCGATTGAAATTACAATTAAAATGACACTTTTCTATTCTATCAAATAACAGCAAAATAATTGTGTTTGAGACTCTTAAAAAATTATAGTAGAAAAGATCTTTTATCATCAAAAACTATATATACAAGAAAAATGTTTGGTTAACTAGATCGGAATAGTAACGTTACATACAAAACATATAATTATCTAAAGAACGAAATCTAACACTGTATATCATGCACACACAAACAGAAAAACCAAAAACGAAATTTATAATTGTTACTTCGATAATGATATCTAAGTATTTTCAGTTATATATAATTGAATAAATTTGAGTTCATATTCTGCTCACGGTAAAATAATATCTTTCTAGAGTACTAACCTTGAACAAGCATACTAGCTATAGTCGATGCAGACACCACAACATACATCACAGTCTTGACGCCAAAATCTTTAGCCATTTCCGGAATCCAATGAGCAAAGTCGAAGAAGATGAGGTCCGGTTTTACGGCTAGGACCTGATCTTCGATCTGAGCACGTGTGAGATCCATTGCAGAGGCTAAGAGATTGGTTGATGACACCGGGATTTCCGAGGCTGTCTCTGTGCCGATGGGGAGACCATCGACATGAGGAACAGTGACGGAGTGAAAGACAATTTTGTCTGGAAACAGATTGAGATGTTCATATTGTTTTAGAGTTTTCTTGGGAAGCAAGAAAGTGACCCTATGACCTTTATCAGCTAATTTGTTGGCAAGATGCAAGAATGGAGTCATATGACCAGTTGCAAACCATGGATACATAAGTGCATGGAACTTTGAATCCATTTGTTTTGTTTATTGTTTTTTTTTGTTTTGTCTTTTCTTCTTTCTTAGTATATCTAGGTTCAGCTTTGGACTCTAAAGGTTTATTTATACATGGCAAGTAATGCATGGAAACCTAACTAAGTGCGCAGTTGGGAATTAAAGCAAAAGCTAGAAGGGGCCTACGGCTTCATAAAGTTTCTCTTTTCCAAGTACGATGTTAGGTTTCAGAGATACTAAAAAAATGTTATTTTGATACCGACGTTATAATTCTTCGAGAGACTCCTCTACCTTCTTCTTGCCTCATCAAACTCATTGATAAGAATGTCGGAAATCCAATTAGTTCGATAAATCAAGAGACATCACATATGATAATCGTATGAGGGTGTAGTTCACCACTCGTTCACCATGGGCCTTCCCTAACGCCAAAGCGAAGGCTGAAGCAGAATCTTCCGATCTATATATTGTGTATATATAATCGTTTGAATTAAAGTATGCTTTCATTTGAGAGCAAAAAAAAAGTACGCTTCCTCGTAAAAAACATTTGTTTTGATTGAATAAACTTTATATTCAACTCAAATATAGAAAGTATTATTTTTCTCTCACAGAAGTTTATTGTTTGATAGGGATGGGCATTCGGTTGTTCTAGTTGGCTCTGTTCGTTAAAAAATATTTTTCATTTTTTTTTGGGTTCTATAGATATTATTGATCATTAGTTTATATTTCAGTTTGGTTCGGTTCATATTCGAGTTTGGTTTGGTTGTGCTTTGAAAAATTAACATAACAAAGAAATTAATTAACTAATTTTACTTAAATATTTAAATATAATATTCTATATACTTAATCAACTTATTGATTCTCTATTAAATTTTGGTTAATATGGTTAATTCCATGCAAATTATTTTATAATTAATTCCAAGTTCTAGTTAGGAAATTTTGGCTCGGTTGAAGATGGTTCTAAAAATTTTCTCTACTCTATTTTTGACCCAGCAATAGCTTCAATATCAATTATACGATTATTTAAAAACAAACTTGAACGACATATGAATCCATGTAAAAAAAGAGATAGTCCACCATTTCGACCTTCCAATTCCATGGTCAATAATTTTTATCACCAAATTCAAACTAAAAATCTTGATTGTTTTTGAAAGGAAGAGAAAAAAAAAGGAGCAAACAGCGATACAACTCCCGAAAAAGTTAATGCATTTATAACCAAAAATTTAATATGTTTTTTAATGTGTAAGAAATTTAAAACATTTTTAAAATTTTAAATAGAGGGAGTAATTTTTAAAGTTCAAGACAGATGAATACCATATACTTTTTTTTTTTTAAAAATGAATACCATATGAATTATTCTTTCAAAACAAATTAGGTGTTTAGCCCGCGACTTGCGCAGACCGAAAAGTTTCATTGAAATCTAAAATAAAATTTTATGTCATAAATAAAAAATACTTAGATCAAAAATTTGATACATACAAAATTAAAATAAAACTAACCTATGAAAGTAATCATTGTCTAACATTAAAAACTTTAAAATCAATACTAATAAGTGTATAAAATCAATAAACACAAACTAAAATAAAATTAATATGAATTATTCATCTTTTTCTTTTAAAATTTTATTTTTTTTTTCTCTATCATTTTCTTCTTTATTTTTTTCTTTTTTTTTTTTGTTTCCTTCTTTATTTTCTATGTCTTTTTTTACTTTTTATTCTGCATGTTTTTCTTTTTCACGTCTTCTTATTCTTCTCAACATCTTTTCCTTTTTCCTCTCATACATCTTTTGATTTTTTTCTTTTCAACGTTTTATTCCCTTTCTTCTTCTTCTTCTTCTTCTTATTTTTTTTTTTTTTTTTTTTTTCCTTTTTCATTGTCATCGTCTTCTTTGTTATCACCGACTTCCTATTCTTCTGGTGTTTTTCGGCTTTTACATCATCTTCATATTCTTCTACTTTCTCCAATTCCTCCTCTTTTAAGGTTTTCATCTAATTTTTTCTCTTCACTATCTTCTTCTTCTTCTACTTTGTCTTCTATTTTATTTTATTTTTCTCATTCAACAGATTCTTATTCCTCTTCTTCCAATTATTCTTACTCTCTCCAAATTCTTCATCATATTTTAAAGATCTTTGTCTTATCTGTCTTTTTACTCTTCTCATGGTTTATATTTTCCCTTTTTTAATTTTTTCCTTATATTTTTGATTTTTTTATCGTTATTTGTTTTCAAATTGTTCTTCTTTATTGTCTTCATCTTTTTTTTTTACTTCTTATTCATCTGATTTGTCTTCGTTTTTTTATCATATTTACCTTTTTCTACTTTGTCTTCTTCATCTTCTAGTTTTCTTCCATTTTATTATTATTTTCTTTCACTTCCTCTACTATCTACTGGTTTTCTTTTATGACTTCTTCTTCTGATTATCTTTTTTCTTCTCCAATTGGTGATTTAATTTTTTTTGTTCATCATCATCGACCTATCCAAATATTTGAATTATCTCACTTGAACATTGTATTATTTTTTGGACATATAATCCATGTTTTCTTATTCTTCTCATTTTTCATTATTTATCAAGCTTTTCTATTCTTTGGTTTTTATCTTT